CTCTCTCTCTCTCTCTCTCTCTCTCGCACTTCTCAAGGCATATATCCATCGCTTTTAATATAATAAGACATATAATATAACAAATACTATAACAGGCATTAAATTAGAAAAATCAGTCAAATGTCAAATAAATGTATTATAATCTACTTTTATGTCTATATTTGCTATTTTTAAAACAAAGCCCTTTTTTGTGACTTAAGAATTGATTATTCACACAAAATCACATTTATTATTACCATTATATTTTGTTTGATGATTAAAATTATCATAATTCTATTTGCTATAATGATAATTATATGGCAAATGAAATATGTTGTAAATAGATTTTTGTTACATGTTTTGATATACAGTATGAATATAGACTTCATATATCAATATTACGTGAGTCTTATATTAAAATTATGTATACTTTTATAATATAATTAAATCAATATTTGATTTTTATATGCGTTTGTATTAATTGTTGGGCAAAAATGATATTATTCACCACAATATGAAAAATGTATTAATTTTTTAATAAATAATTAAAACTATTTATGTTAGTAATAAATATTATATGTGAATTCAGTGTTAGGTATTAAATAAGTATTAATAATAATTATTTGCAAATATATGTGTTATAATTCATCTTTATTTTTTAATTTTAAACATTTAAATACAATTATTTTGTGGAGTTATAAAGAAAAGATACAAATAAATTTGTTTGACATTTCCTATGTATGCAATTATTTATAAAAGTCATCAGTTATTTGAGTGTTTTATCATATTTTGTTTCATTTTATTAACATTTTCATAAAATTAAATATATTTTTAATGAACTTTAAATATCGATAAATATATTATACAAATATAATAATAGAAAAATCAACAAAAATAGCACATCATATGCAGTCATAATCATAATCGCAATCATAATAAATGCACAAAAATATCACAATAAATATAACAGTTATTTTAGACACAGAATACATAATAATAATTAATAGCGTTGTTTAGATTGAAATCAGTTGTCGTTTTAAGCGTTATAATACTTGAATGTTTAGCCACTTTATAGTCGATTTAAAAGTGAAATTTTAAATTGAATTTTGAAATTACATTATTATTGTGTTTTATTTTTTAGAAAGTTAGTGAATATTATACACAACACTATGTTATGTATAAATCAAAACATCTTTTTTCATATTATGAAATACATGTTTTAAATAATTAAATTTAAAGCAATTCTTCTCATATTTTGTTGGTATGATATTATAGTATAAAAACATTGTTTCGTTTCCGAAACATTTAAAATTAAATATTTATACAAATAATCATAAAGTTATGGCACTATAAATAAAATACAATATGGTTTTATGGAGAGCGAGAGAGAGAGAGAGAGAGCAAAAACCATCGTAAACAACATCTTAAAACTTTTTATCTCCTTTTATATACAGTGAATAAATAAATTCATATTTTCCTCCCATAACAAAGTGGTTGTTTTAGTGGAAATATTGTCTATTATGGGGCAAAAAATTTTATGGTCAGTGTTTTAGTTTCCCCTCACAAAACATCCAATGCATTACATTGTGATTGTGTTCATAACGACTTTATATACCATAATGTATAGGTATATAAAACACTTTCGCGAAAAAGGATTTTTCATTTTTCGCATTAAATTTTAATTGTATGTGTATTTCAAACACAACATAAAAACTGGTAATCAATTTGTATTTTTCATCTGAAATTGATTTTTTCGCTAATACTTTCTTTACGAAGTGAAAAATTTGTGTGTTTTTACCGTATTATATGCTTTTTGACTTATCATGTGCATTATTATTATACACTAAAATACAAAAACCCAAAAATTCAATTATAATAACTGGAAGATTATTATGTAATATATAATGAATGTTTGGAGTAATGGTTTTGTAACGTAAAAAATTTTTAACATTTTTTCTTTTCATTAATTCCATTATAATATGAGTTTTGTATTTACTTTAAATATTATATATACTTATAATTTTGATATATATTTATATTGTATTTAGTTTTTTCTCTCTAATTCTTTATGTAAATCGAAAATTGTATTCAAAAGTCATTTTTATCAGAGAGTATCACATTTAGGGTTCTTTTGTCCAAAAATAATAACAATAATACAAATACTGTAAGTGTATTGAAATGTGAAGTTTTTTCAATTGAAAATTGTATTTCATTTGAATGAATTAGTTTTTGAAACATTTTGAGCGAAATAATCATATATTGAGACTGAAGTCAAGATAAACCGTTGGGAGAGAGAGAGAGAGAGAGAGGGAGAGAGAGGGAGAGAGAGGGAGAGAGAGAGAGAGAGAGAAAGAGCTCTTGTTGGTAATTGTTAATTCGATAATAAAAATTTGTTCAAAATCTTGTAATAGAGATATATGTTCTGTATATAAATAATAGATAGTGAATACACGACTGACTTGAAGACTATTATCGATATTAACATAAAACGGCAGAATATTCTGCTTTTCACAAAAATAAGTCACAAAATATTGAGTTTAAAAAAAACAATTCAATTATCCGACGGAATAGGAATCTGTATATCTTTGGTATCGACGGCTTTGTTCGTCGACTCTTGAGACGTGTCATCGGCCGCAGCGGCAGACGCTTTACTGGCGTCGACGGCGTGATTGTCGGAGTGATGATAGACCTCTACTTTCACCTCCTCTTCGTTGGTGTCGGGCTTTCGCCTAAAACTAGACCTATTGTTGTGAAGGTTGTAGTTCTGGCGCTGGTATGTGGACGAAGTGCGGTTGTGTTGAGACGTGGACGCCGTGCGGCCGAGCGGCCGATTCGGTGAGTGCACCGATGGGTTGCGTTGCAGTCCCGGCTGATTGATGGGAATGGTGTATATGTTAAGCCGTGCGCCGCCCATCTTAGGCGGCGCGCATAAGTGAACATTTTTATTAGGGTTGGACTTGTAGTTTCTGAACGATCCGCCGCCACTACTCCCGAAGTGATAGTTGGGGTTTGAGATCTGCTGGTGTTGGAGGTTGTGTTTGCCCATGTATTGCCACACGCCTGCACATAGATCATATACAAACATTGTACATATACAGAATATGCTAGATCAATCAATTTTTATAAATTATATATTAGGACAAAGTTTTCGTGTTTTTATTTTTGTGTGTTGTTCTCCCCCTCCCTATCCTTATTACTGTTACGTGTATCTTATGTTATGATATATCATGTATGATATGTGGAAATAATGCACACAATTTTATAATGTAATACATTGTATAATATATAATATGAATGAAATCTACAATATTATAAACCATTATAAACCAATTGTCTCTCATCAGTAATTCAGCGAAACAACACACGAGTCAACCTGTCTCTGGCAAACATGTCTTACATATAAATCATGAATTATTTATTTATTTAAATGAAAAAATCTTTTTGATTTCACTTTTCTTTCTATTTCTCATATTTATTATTGATTTGAAAATCCGTTCAATTTTTTCCATAACAAGACGAATATACGTGAAAATGAGAGACAAATATTTGCAATACTAATAACATGGAGAATATTTATTGAATACTGTGTATGATATCCGATGCATACCTTCTCCCTTATTGACTGCCGACCAGAATCCGTATGAAAACAACGCGATTATAATGAACACGAAACCCAGCGTTAGGTACATCATCTCATTAGAGCCCCCGTGGGCGGCGAAAAACAATATGATCAAGATCAATATGAACATTCCGCCCCCTATTCGCCCGATCTCTATTCAATTATAATTATAGAGAAATACATTATATGAATGGCATGTATTTGCAAATAATTAATATTCATTCAAACGTCAACACAACACAAGAATATTCATAAATACACAAATCAATAAAATGAAAGTAAATATTATTCATCTATACAAACCTTTACTCTCAGGCATTGTGTTTTGTGTCTCAATTCAAACGGTTGCAGACATTAGTTGAATATTGAAAAAAATACAACAATTGTTCATAAATTATATATTATTTTTCATATAAAAACATTGGCAAAGATATATCGAGAGAAAGAATATTCTCGTAATGAATTCACGCGATGCCAACCATTACTGTCGACCCAATACTAGTGTACGGTATTCTTCGCCATACAATTCAATGGCCCAATAGGTTAGCAAATAGTAAAACAAAAATATAAATTAAACTAACGTTATATAAAAGATCTTGCTATTTCTTTCCCCTATTGATAAATAAATAATACAAAAAGAGAGAGTAATATTAATGACAGCACATCACACACTCTCACTATTTTCATCTCATCTCTAACTACTGGCCACCAAAACAACACAAACACTAAACGCATTCACATCTTTGATGAAGTGTAAAAAATCAAATATTTATTATGATTACCATTGGATAACATTAAATAATATTTACATTGATTTTGTTTTTAGCTCATAATAGTCATGCTCTGCCTCCCTGTGCCACCACTACCGCCGCCACTGACGCTACTTATATGCCATGCGATGCACTGCCATCACTACCACCACCATCGGCAGTGCTCTTCTCCACCAAGAGTGATTTTCACATCCTTATACTAACCCACTGTTCATAGTTTCAACAGATATATACTGTATATGCTTTCTATATATGTGTGTGCTTTTAGATGCACTAAATCTGCCTAATATTGCAGTACATGTTTATACGGACTCCAAGTGCCGCTCACACATAGCGGACATTCCGGCTATTATTATATGGATTTTTCTCATCTGATATAATAAAATATAATTTTATTTTTTGCCTACATTTCCACTGCAAGCGTGAGATAGAAAAATATAATTTTCATATCTGTTATATGAAGTTTTCGTTTCTCTTATTATATTTTTCTTATTTTTTAATTAAACTTTGGCTTCACTTCTAGTTGAAAAAATCTACACAAAAATAGTAAAAGCGAAACACAAACACAATTATAACAGAAAATGAAACAACCAGTGGATGTATTTATAATTTTTTGACCCAAAAACCAGACGCACATAATATATAAGACACCAGTTTTAGAGACATAGAAACCAAATGAAAGTCTTATAATCAATTAGATTGCGATTCATTAGTAGAAGAAAAGTACATTGACTAGAAAATTACTCTTACCAATCTCTCTCTCTCTCTCTCTCTCTCTCTCTCCCTCCCTTTCCCTCTCTATCTTATTCTCGGGAGAAATCGACAATTTTTGTGTTTTATTTAATAATACAAAAAGAGAGAGTAATATTAATGACAGCACATCACACACTCTCTCTCTCTCTCTCTCTCTCTCTCCTATCATTCATCCCCAGTCCTAATGATTAATACCATTATTAACATCAAATGTCTGGAGTAATTAAGGGATATATTTTCATCATGTAATCAATAAATATATTTAACAATCACTCAATACTACAATAAAAGCCCTATAAATAGCAGTTATATAGAGATATTAATCGATATTAAATGTTAGTCTTTATGGTTATTATTAATCTCTATTTACTTTATAAATAAAACACAAAAATTGTCGATTTCTCCCGAGAATAAGATAGAGAGGGAAAGGGAGGGAAAAGGGGTTGAACTACGAGTGCCGTCGAAATCTCATATATAAAACTCAAATATTGATTGAGATTTTTCACAAAATACTTTTTTTCGCTTTTATTTTGTTTGCTTTGCTATCGATTTAACAAAAAAGAAATCGACAGAAAAAAAAACAAAAGTACGCTATAATAAAGTGAAAGATATAATGAAGAGATTAATAGTATTGTATTCATTGGTTGTGACACTCGTTGTGTTGTCAGACGTAAGCGAGTGTAAGAAGAAGAAGGGTCTGCTCGAGGTATGTGGTCATCGATAACACAGATAATGAACGACACGACAGTCGGATATGTTTGACACCCACTTAATACAAATACCTGATATGTTTTTTCCTCGCTGTCATTATTGAAAGGCTGGACTATTGTTGGCCGGACTTTTGCCGCACCCGATGCCGGTGCCAATGCCTATACCGATACCGATTCGCATTGAGCGCCAACACCACCACCCGGCGCAACACTGTCCGGCCCCGCAGTCCCACTACCAGTGAGTTGTTTGTCTCGTTTGTATATAAAATTGGTATCAGAAGAGTAAGTGATTATTCAATTTAATTCTCGTAGTATTCATAAAAGTGTTCAATTAATTCCCATTCCTATTGAACGCAAAGCTAAGCGAAGAATTGTTTGTCTCGTTTGTATATAAAATTGGTATCAGAAGAGTAAGTGATTATTCAATTTAATTCTCGTAGTATTCATAAAAGTGTTCAATTAATTCCCATTCCTATTGAACGCAAAGCTAAGCGAAGAAAGCCTAAGAAGTCGTCCAAAAGATACGAAGAAAGTGATGAAGAGTTTGATCGATAAATGGGTTACCGATTATTGATATATCAGTAGATATTGACTCTCATAACGATGACAGCACTCGTCGTTCACTTCCCGTTCACTCTCTTTCTCTCTCTTATGATAAATTATATGTAGTTTTTCTTTCAAATAGATTTTAATCATTCATTTTTCATGTGTAACAGATTTTTGTTGTCTGTCATTTGGTGTGTGTCCTGTTGTGTATCGTTAATATCAAAGTTTTAATAGTTTTTTACTATACCTAAAGACTTTATGTCAGACTTTTGTGATATTTGTTATGTGTTTTGTTGTGTTGAATGACAACAACTGTTTTGTTTTATTGATTTATTGCTTTTATTTATGTATATATAAAACAGAATATTCTTTCGCTTTTTAAAAATACAAATGTAATGTAAAAAATGGCAAAAACTATTTCTAATTTATATTATTTAAGTATTTTCTTTCTGTTGTTTGTATTTTGTGTCTCACGTAAAACATATTGTACTGTATATAAAGTTTAGGCCCTTATTTAACAGTTGATAATTTTATACAATGTGTGTTCAGTCAGTCGACGAATCGACGAGAAAAATAAATTTTTATAATGTTTTGTAATTATCAAGTATTTTATATAAATTAACTTTTTGTTTGCAATAAAAAACACATTTTTTAAACTTCGAGAAAATTCAATAAGCATTGAGTGTTTGGATAACTTGTAAACATTAAATGTGTGGTGAATTAGCAATATATTTAACAAACAATTTCTCTGAACAGTAATTCATTAAATGGCAAAAAACAACATTTCAACAAATCTGTCGCTCATTAGTAGATCCCAAGAATCTATGGCTTAGAACTTGTTTTGATAACTATTGAGATCATAGTTATTCCAGTTTAGGTCATTGATATGATAGACCCGTTGGCCGTAATCGTCGTTATACTGATACTTCATTTCATTGTATTCATTATTACTGACCACTGAATCCAATTCATTGACGTTGTCGTCGAGAGTGGCCGCGTGTCTGACCGCCAGCTCTTTGGTATCCATAGGCTTCAGATCTGTGACCGACAATAGACTCAAATCGTTTGGTTTGTCATTCAATTGTTTCTCATCTTTGAGCTCATCTTTGGGCTCATCGTTTGATTGGATGGCCTTTTGAGCACTGGTTTGTCGTCTGGGGTGAGAGCTCGGGGGCGGCAACAGAGGTAACGGCAATATAGAGGCCGACAACTTGTTGTTAACGGCGTCGATAGCGCCGTAAGGCCTGTCGTCTACG